AGGAGAGATAGTTCCTGGCAGGCGGAAGGGAGCAAAGCAGCAAAGTAGCAATAGCTTCTTTCTGTTCCTTTCTATTCCATTCAAGCATTAATCCTGTTGGTGAGTGACACCCACACTCAGCGTGGGTGTGCACCTTAATTCCCGCAGCACACATTTAATATCAGCATCGCACTTCAAATCCCAGCATCACACCCTTAATCATAGCATCATAAACCTGCATCCAGCCATCTCCAAAAAGCTCCACCTATGACTGCATGAGGAATAGGGAATGACTTGGGCGGAGGGGATCTAGACACAAGCCATTAACATTCAGGAAGGTGTTGATTTTTCTTTCAGCCAGATCACAGGCTGAGAAAAATATTGCTCTTTGTTAATGGCTTATTTTGTATATAAATACAATTTGTATTCTGCTCATTGACGGATGGCGCAAGTAGTTCAAGGTCCCTGAGTTTGTGTGTGTGCTTGGTGAAAGACGGGGGTGTCATCAGGTCCAACTGTGTAATTTGTTTAGATCAAAGGTGTTTGTGTGTCCTCTGTATAGACCTTGAATCCCAAGTCTCATTTACAGAGTTGACAAATACCTCCAGAAAAATTATAACTTCAACTCCTGCTTTTTGTGTCTTCGTATTTATCTTCATCCTTTTGCCTCATATTTGTCAATCTAAGGATTGTGTTGTCTGGAGAGCTCATGTGTGATATTTAAAAGCTGTTTACTTGCTGGAAACCTGAAACTGTTCTAAAAAATAAAATCTATTTAAAAATGTTGACTTTATCAATACTATTTGAAGAGCATGTGTTCAAGTGTGTGTGTGTGTGTGTGTGTATGTAGTCAAATTTGTTGAAGAATGCTATTTCTCTGAATAATTGGTTGGAGATTTTAATAAAATAGTAATTCTTCAAAAGATTTGCTTTGAAAGAGAAGTATAGGAATTTTCGATACAGTACAAAATAAATTTTTACAGAAACTAAAATGAATGATAAGTCCAACATTTTGACTTTAATAAGAGTTGAAAAATGCTGGTGTGTTTTGATACAATAAATATATAAATATTATATTCAATACTTTATTTCTCTTAGATTTGGTTGAATAATAATTGACACACTTTATGCTTATAATAAAATACTATCTAAATTAATTTTTTACATCCTTATATTTATCCTGCTGCTTTACTATAGGTATTGAAATGGTCTGTTAACTCCTGTTGAAAACTTAATATTTATAGTAGGAACCTATGCAGTTTTTACATTTGTTTTACATAAAACACTTCACTGTGAGTTCAGGAAAGTATTGTTTATCTTCAACCAATTACCAATTGGATTCTACTTACAAATTTCTTTCTAATATTATCTGCACTAAATAAGTAAAATAATATTAACTGTCTATCCAACATTCTTTGTGTACACTGTGACTAAACAGGGATAAACTGTGTTGCAATACAGAAAGTATAGACTTTTCCCTTGAGGCGCTGAATTAATTATCATAATTCTTCGGCTGAGTGTGACATCTGTCAGTTCAGAAAAGACCTTGGAATAGTGGCCAAGTTAGAGAGAACTACTGTGTTTAAATTCTTTCTCACCAGATTGCAAAATCCATGCTAAGTGCTTTTATGATGGAATGACAGCTTTTTTGGGTTAAATTATTCTCCTCCAAGTCCAGGAGTATGTGATATTCTTAGAGCTTATTTGATTCTGAGAGTGAGGGGAGGTTTTAGTGGAGACAGCAGTACCAGCAACATTTCACACTCAGAGTTTCCCTTTTTATCTATTCATTCATTTATTTGTTCATTCAAAATCTCTCTAATCTTTTCTACAGATCAGAAACCATTCAAACGTACAAAAGAAACAGTGGAACAATTTCACTCATGGGAGTTGATGAATTTTGAACTCACAAAAGAGTGTTTTATACAACACATGGGAGTATATATAAATGGCTGGGAGAGGTGCCCGGGCTCTACCCAATTATCCTATGAGAATGAGATAGAGTAGATAATTTCTTTATAAGGAGATGTTATTTTTCCATGTACTAGCAAAATTTGGATAGGTTGAGAATTCACTTGGAGAAGAACTCAAACAGTATAGAGTTTGCTTGATCATTAATAGTGCTACTGTGATAGGCAGTGGGGTGGAGACTGCTTGCTGTGCTTCCTCTCCAGTGGCCTGTACCTCCTGCCCTTCTGTCTTCCCCCACAGCCTTACGCATTCCAGTGACCGAGAGTGTGCATTTTGGAGAAGACCAGCCTATGCTCAAATCCCCCGTCTTCCACATCAGCCAATTGCTTACTCTTTCTGTGCTTCAATTTATTTTTGAATATGATGAGAATATTCTCTAGCACATAGTTAGTGTGACATTAAAGGAGTTAATTGATTCCAGGGTCCAGAATGCAGTTATATGCAGATGTCAGCTATTCTAATACCACCTCATTCTATTTTATTTGCATGTTAATCTGGTCCATTTGGCACTTGAATTTGGACCCCTATTTTTAGTACTATAAAATTTGAAAAGGCATGAACATGAGGAACAAGGGAGATGGTAAATACAACAATGACAACAAAACTTATAAAGAGAATCTTAAATACACACAAAAGAAGGGTTTTCACTTCCTTTTTGAAAAAAATCACAGATTTTGTTTGATGTAAGAAAAGGTGGGTGCGGTCACATTTTAAAGTGTTGGGAGGTTATTCTAGGTCCAGGAAACATTTAAAATAAGAACACAATAGCCTAATAACTCACTATTTCCTTCCTTCCAAAAATAATTTTTTGAATACCTTCTAGGCATTCTAGATTTTGAGGAGACAACGTTTAATTATGAAGTTTCTCTACCATTTAAAAGTTCTCATGCCATGAGCAAGGAAAGAGATGGATATTTACTAGCACTGAGCTAAAGAAAAACATGATGGCCTATTCAAGTCTGGGTAGGGGAAGACTCATTTTAAAAGATTCTCAAATGCAGTAGACAAATAAACTTGCTCTTTGGAAATAAGAATTGTGTAGATAAAATATATGGAAAAAGAGGCAAGGATAATCCAAATAGAGGAGAATAGAATATTTGAAAATCTTTCAGAATTATAGACGGTGTGGTAAATTTGGCAATGACAGTAGATATGTGAACTATGTGAATCAGAACAAATTCTTTACATTTGTCAGTGACAAATCCTGACTTTACAGCTCCTTACTCTTTCTCTAAAAACAATTCTTCATAGCAGTCCAATGTGATAGGAAATAATACTCTCAAAATGACCAGATGAGCACAATGAGGTTCAGATAATTGAACAGAGTGGCTTATATTACTAATAAATGGTAAAAACATTCAAACACATTGTAAAAACTCAGAGAGAGCATGGACAATGTGATAAGGTTCATTTGGCTCAGATTAAATATCATAATGAAAATGTTGGATGTTAACATGGAAAAACTTTGCCCTGACTGATATCAATGTAGATAGAAAGGAAGGCCATTTGCTTAAAGAAAAAGATAACCTAAATGATTAATCAGTTTCACTACCTTGGATTTCTTTTGGACTCAGCTTCTTGATCTTTTACAAGAATGTGTGGACCTCGGTAGAATCCTCATCCTGTCCCAGACTCAGTGTTGAAGTGGTAAAGGTAGAATTCACCACAAATGCACGTGATTTTATAACTTTTCTCTAGTGAAAGTACAGATTACCTAAGAGTGACTAAATCATTTCAGTTTAGTGATTCTCCCCCCTTCACATATATACATAAATATTTCAATTTTGCCTGAAATTTAAAAGACAGATTTACAAAAATAAGTGAAAAAGTTTGTATTATTTTAAAAGTTTTCCACTCTTTTGCTTATGTGAGGAAAGATTTCAAATCAGATTAAAAACACTTTATGCAATTTAGTTACAATATCTAAAGACATTTGAAAACATTTGAAGAAATGGTTGGCTTTGGGTAAATTTCCTCTCCCTCTCCTACTCCCATATCTAGTAAAATAGGACACTTAGCTCTTTTTCTCACATATTATTTCATATACTTAGAGGAAATTGCCCCAAACTTAAAAGAATTTGACAAGTGGATTTAGCACATGAACAGATGCATTTAAAATATAACAGATGGTCCTCCATTTTCTTAGGTGAGGTGATCTATATCCATTTTATCAAGTTACAAGGGTGAATGAATCTGAAGCTGAAATGATATACAAAAAATTAGAAAATATTGATGGCTTCATGCCACAAATTAAATGAACCTTAGTATTTATTAAAATTGAAATAGATACATTTGAGGAATCTAAAAATGTTTCCTTTACTGGTAAGAATGGCATTAAATACAGAAAGCAAGCATTCAAAATCAATTGATATTTTCAAAATACCTCCTCGATTTTGAGCAGATGCATTTAGATTTGGTAGCATTGTTTAAAAGTGTGGCACCTTTGTGGAGTTAGGAGTGAGTGATTTGGGAACATAAGCTGAAGACGATCTACTCAGACAACTGCGGTCCATATGGTTAAGTGACTTGAATAAAAGCCATAGCAGACCTTGGTCTATAACCAATGTCTTGTCAATTATTTTGGGGTATTAACTCTTTGTTTATTTCTTCCTTCCAACAAGATTAGTTAGTATAAATGACTAATAGTACTTCAGTGGTAACCAGTAGCTGTGGAACCTCACCTGTAGTGCCTATAATACCAGAATTTCAGTTCTCCATACCCCCTCCTTCTCAAACAATTCTTATTAAAGAACATGAATCTATGGGTCTTGTGCTTACTAATTTCACAGGTTTGTTTTTCATTTTTCCATTTTACTTTGAGAAGCTTTCATTCTCTCCTTAAGTAGCAATAATGTTGCTATCTAAAGCATAATACTAATTTGAGCTCTCGAAGATCAACTTCAGAAGTATGTAAAACACTAATATTTATGAGATTTAAAGATTTGGACAATAACGATTTTCTCCATTTATGTTTAATTTGTAATTGGGAGTTTATGGCCAGTATCGTTTCTGTCAGCACTATAAATAAAATACCTAAACTTCATAAAACTAAACTTACCTGTCAGGGGAGGAGTGAGAATCTCAAAGTGGCTTTCCAGGGTGAGGTTCATTTAGTGGAGTCTGGATATGCTGCCCTCTATAGTTTTCAGTAATGAGGAAAGGTTTTCAGCATAATTACTGATAGTGCGAGATAGTGCTCACACTGTCCTTTTCTAACAAGAAAGCTTAAAGGTATGTTCATTTGATCTGCTTTAACATTTATAAAGGTTTTTCTTTTGAGGGTTTCAGGTTATTGATCTTGTCACTGCCTAGCAGTGAGTTCATGCTTTCAAAATAATGGAAATTGGAACTGAAGGACAAAGCTAGGTTAGGTAGTACACACCAAGAATTCTAGCACCCTAGGAGACTGCGGTAGGAGAAGTCCAGGGTCCAGACCATTCTGGTAATGTAGCAACTTAGTAAGACCCTGTATCCAAACAATAAATTTCAAAGAGGGAGGGAGACAGGGGATGTAGATCACTGTGAAATCCCTGAGTGCAATCCTCAGTACCAGAAATAAAATGAAACAAATTCATTAAATATATGAGTATCAGTATTTCTACTAAATAATTGTCTAAATATATTAAAAAATTAAATATAGATGATTCTTTGGTTGACTTTTCAATGAATTAGAATAATAATAAATAACAAACCACATATCTCAGTGTCTTAGCAAATAACAATGTTATGGTCATGTATTATTTTGAGAAAACAATTCCCATCATTCCAACACAGCTCTGATGCTAATACCTCTCCTCCACATGGGATCAATTTGTATGGTTTAGTGGAAGCAAGAGGATCTATATTTGTAATAAGCTGCTATAACAAAATACTATGAGCAGGAAATCTTGTTAAAACTAGAAATGTGTTTCATACCATTCGGGAGCCTGGAAAGTCCAAGATAAAAATGGCGGTGGGATTCATATTTGGCAAGGGTCTGGTTCTTGGTACATAGATGGCTGTCTTTCTGCTTTATATGTCAGAAAGGGAAAGGGGATTTATGTGACCTCTTACATAAGGGCACTAATCCCATTCTAAAGGATCCATGCCAATTTCTTAATTACTTTCCAACGGCCCCACCACCTATACCTTCACATGGGCTATTAGGTTTTATAGCACGAATTTTGTTCAGAAACAAATGGTATGCTCATAGTTTCTGGCCTGCTTTTGGTCATCAGTTGGAGTATTCCATCTTTCATCATTGTGACCTCTATGGACACCTAGTCTCTCCTTATTCAGAGGTCTAGCATTATGCTTCTTTGCATGACTCTTAGCTTACTGTTGGACATAGTAGAGCCTGTGGGTCTTCTAAACCTTAGTCTAAAAGTCACTGAGCAGCCTCTTGCTTTGGATTGACCTAAAGAGCTACATACTCGATTGAAACTTACACATGGAGAAACCAGGTTCTAAATCTTGATGGGAAAAGTGACAATCATATTACAAAAAACATAATAGAATATGAGAAATAAAGAGACTTCTTAATTCAGTAATCTGTGTTCTCAGATTAGGAATTAAGGAAAGAAGAATACAAAACAACAGAGAGAATAAAACAACAAAGTTCAGAGAAAGAAAGAACAAATTGAAAGCATGAAAGCAATAGATAAAAAGGAGTGAAACAAAGAACTCCTTTGAAAACATCAATAAGATCAACAAATTTCTAGCAAGCTGAAAAGAAAAAACAGAAAGATGACACAAATTATTAATATTAGGAGTGAATAAGAAGGAAAGACTACAGATCCATGGTCATTAAAAATATAAAGGATATACTACAAATAACTTTCAATTGATAAACGTGACAAGTTAGAAGTGACAGACAAATTAATTGAAGCCTATTGTGTATCATAACTCAATCAAGATGAGGTAGATAATTTGAATACTCCTATTATGATTGCAAAACTGGAAAATTTGAAAGCTACTCAAAACTAATGTCTAGGCTGAGATATTATCTTGAGCGAATTCTATCAAATATTTACAGAATTATCAAATACTTCACAAAATTTTTAAAGAAAAATATCAGAATAAAGAATAATTGTTTGTTTTATGAGGCCAGAATTATCTAGTACAACATCAGACAGATACAAAAAATACAAACTAGAAACATTTATAGATAAGTGGATGCACATTGAGGCCATACTCTTAAGTGAAATTAATAGAACATACATGTGTAAATACCGAATAGTTTCTCTGGTGTAAAAAGTAAATATGTAAATTAGGATCAAAATGTATAATTGATATTGTGTAATAGGAAGAAAAGGTCTAAAGGAATAAGGGAAATGGAAAGGGTATGGGAAAGATAAGAAAGGAAAAGAAAAAAATATGAGAAAAGGAAATAAATGGAAATAAAGTCTTTGTAAAAAGGGAAGGGTGGAGGGGATGAAGGAAGGGCAGGAAAATGGGAAAAAGAACCAGGATACATCATATAAGGGTCAAGATCCCAATGATGAATGTAACTGTACCAATTCACTTAATGGGGAAAAAGTACAAAATAAAGGCCAGTATCTCTCACTAATTTATACAGAAGAATCCTTTTCATATTAGCAAATAAAAATCTAACAATATACAAAACACTATGGTCAGCTTATTTCAGTCATTCAAAACTGGTTTGATATCTCTAATCAATACAGACATACATATCAATAACCTAAAGGAGAAAACTTATAACAATTTCACACACCCAAACATAGCAAAAACACTGAAAACACTATGAATGGAAGAGTATTATCTCAACTTGATAAAGAGCTTGTACCCACAATTTACAGCTAATAAAAGAATGAAAAATCAGGCCAGGGATTTACCTCAGCAGTTCAGTGGCCTGCCTTGCAAGTGCCAGGACCCGAGTTCAATCCCCGGTACCAAAAAAAAAAAAAAAAATAAAAAAAAAAAAAAAAAAAAGAATGAAAAATCAGATGCTTTCTTATAAAATAAGTTATAAATCAAGGATGCCTTCTCATCCCTCTTACTCTTCATAGTGCTAGCATTTCTGACTGTCTTGTTAAAGGAATAAAAAGAAATAGTAAATTGAAGGAAAAGAAAAAATAAAACTACTTACAAATAAATTATTATCTGCAAATTCATAAGAAATAAACATATTTAACTCCCAGAAGTAAAAAAGGTGCTTAGCAATTTGTAGAATATATTATTCATATGCAAAAATCAAAGTCATTTATATACACTGGTAGTGAAAACATGAGAACCAAAAATTAAAATGCAGTACAGAAAAATAATATATTTAAGTACCATATATAGTTGGTAAAACATACACAGTCAGTTTATATGAAAAGTACAAAACTACTGGTACAAGCACTTATTGGTACTCTTTAGGTATACAGTATAATGACATTCATCATTAGAAATTTGTACATTTACATAATATATCTTGGCTCTTATTTTTTTCTCATTTCCCTGCCCTCTCTTCAACTCCTCCACCCCTCTTAAAAGCAAAAAACCACATATTTTGCTTATGAATTAGGAATCTCCACATAATAAAAATGTCAATTCTTTCTTTATTTTTACATATGTTTAATACAATTCCAATGAAAATTTCAGTAGGAATTTTTAGAGACAGGAACAGATTATAAAATACTTATGAAGAGGCCCTAGCTTTGAAAGAACAAAACTAATCTTGCCAAAGGAAAAAAAAATAATGTTGAAAGAATCACACTACCTTTTATTTAGGTCTACTGTGCTTTGAAAAACAAATGATATTGTTTGAATAATTGTCACATAGATAAATGAGGGCAAATCGAGAGCTCAGAGACAGTCTCACATAAGAATGCTCAAATGACTTTTGTCAAATGGAGAAAAAGAATCAACGTTAAAAGCGTAGCATGAGGAACAACTGGTGTGGGAGTAACAGAAAATCTGTAAGTTGGAAAATGAGGCTTGACCCAATTCTCAGGATTTATACAACACTTTAACTAAAAATGGATAAAAATTAATCATAAAATTTAGAAAAAAATATGAGAAAATCTTTGAGAACAAAAGTTAGATAAAGAGTTTTTGAATTGGACACCAAAATCATTATCCATATATGATAATAACTGATACATTAGATCTGATTAAAGTTGAAACCACAAACTTTATATAAAGGCCTAATTAGGGTTGAGAGAAAATATATAGACTAAAGAAAAACATTTGGAAAACTAAGCAAAATTCTACTGCTTAGAATATATAGAGAAAGCTCAAAATTAAATAATAGCAGACGTTTTCCTGAAGAGAGTATACATATGGCAAATAAGCACTTGAAAAGTGTTCAGTATCATTAGCCATCAGGGAAATGCAAAGAAAAACCACAATTAGCCATCAGTGCGTATCTTTCAGAATGATGATGTAACGTCAGGTCCTTGTGAGAAATTATGTTACATCACTCAAATACAGACGGGACACTCCATTGTATTTCCCCTTTGGTCTTTTTTAATTTTAATTTTAATTTTTATTTTTATTTTTTGTTCTTGTTTCTTTTGGTACCAGGAGTGGGAATCGGGGCCTGTACTTGCCAGGTAAGCACTGCACTGCTGAATTATGTCCCTGGCCCTCTTATTTTTTGTGAAGTGCACAGTGGGAATGGACATGCAGACATGACTGGGAGAGGTTCTCATCCAGGGGTGATTTAAGCTTTGTCCTACTAGAGATTCCATTATTGAATCTTAGGAATTATTGTAAGTTGTCATATATTGAAACTAGATATATGTTAGATTTTTTCCAAAACAATTTGAGTACATGTTTAATTGGAATTTGTATTTTGGGGTCTTGAAATGTTGTCTGACTTTGTGATTTTAACTGTAAATTTCAGAGATGATAAGATATTCCACATGAATGAAAAGTTATTAATACTTCATTTTCATATCACAATATAATTTACTTGACTATATTGTTATTAGTGCTTATTAGGTGTTTTTTTGTTGTTGTTTTGTTTTGTTTTGTTACTGGGGATCAAACTCAGCACCTTGCACTTGTGAAACAAGAATTGGAACCACTGAGCTAAATCCCCGGCCCAAGTGGATCTTAATATTAACCCAGAGTTTCAACCTGAGTAATTCTCCATGTATTACAGTCCTCAGGGATTTCCACAGCCAGGTCAATAAGTGTTCCAATTTGCTTTCCATTATTCCTATTATTTGGAGAAACATGGTTCTTTAACTAAGGTCGTAATCATGTTGTCTAATGACTTAAC